TGATCCATAAGGATGAGAAATGTACTAATAAGGGAGTATGTTTTATTCATGGGTTTCTTACTTAAATAGTAGTTTATTGGGATGCAAAAAGATAGTACTGTACATTTAATTATGATCTTTTACATGTTATGAAATATCTATTCTCGTAGTCCACCATTTGTTTCTTTTGTTGGAATAAATACCATTTTGTGAACTTCTTCAGATAAAATGATTAAGTTCGTATTTTGTATACTGGGCTTGTAACCTTGAATGCTTGGCCTTGATAGGTTATAATATTTGACTCTTTAAAGGCATATTATATTTGTCGTGCGAGTTTTAACAATAGTTTGGTTCTTCTTAATATTTCTGTATTATTACCGAAATATTTCCGAATCATAGTATTAGTAAACAAATAAAAATAGTTTCGGTATTTTTCTATAGCAGGTACATGATTTACCTAGTTACATTAATTAATAACGCAAATCAAAAACGTTAACAATGTATTACAATAGTTGCGTACTTTAGTCAAGAAAAGGAATTTAAATGTTCTTACATTATGTTGTTAGGAAACGTATAATCTATTAACAAAAATTGAAGCGGTATTGTAATAGTCTATCCTATTCGAGGCACCAACAAATAGGCATTTAAAAAAAAAATCTCCAGTAATTGCCGTAGACTTTATGCCTAGAATTTTGAGGATTACCTTCCCGATAAAATTTACACGTTAAACGTCATTACAGAAATACATATTGTAGTGCTAATATCTTTTTAAATAGAGCTATTGAATTTAAATAAATGTTGATCAATAACATTATAAAGTGGTAATGTATTCATGGATTGCATTAAAAATTAGTCTATTCATAAATACAATTTGTAAATTTATGTTATCGTAGGTTATTAGTGTAGAACCCGGGTTATCCTCTTATTAATATTAATTTTACGTCTAAAGTCTGGAGTTTTAGCGAATTTCCCATATAGGGAATAAGCTATTTATGGTTCTAAATAGACCCAGGCGTTCTTGTTTGTTATCATTTTTATGAATGGTGGCCATAGCTAAAATTACCTGATCTTGTCCAACAACAAAGCTATTGTCTATTGAGTGGCTCAGTACTGGGGAACGGGGAACCGAGCATGGCTTGGTATAGTTTATTATGATTGTAAAAGCAATATAAAGGAAACCCAACACTAAAATCAGGAAAATCCGTCAAGTCATTGATTAAGAATCGTGAATTAAAATAACCCTGTTACGTTTTAATATAAGAATATTATATCTTCTCCTATTATTTACTAGTGGGGCTTAGGTGTACAATCTAAAAACTGTTTTAAAACATGTGGAATGCAGCGAAAGTACAAGTACGGGGTCACGCGAAGGGCCGAGGTTTCGTTTGGGTTCGGTGCCGGGATGTCACTTACTTTAGTGTCTACCTCACTCCTAACGAGGCCATCCGTGAATTTCGTGAGAAGATAGACCGCCTGGAAGAAAGCGTGCGCAATACCACAGGACACGTCGTCGTGGGTGGGGATTTTAATGCTAGGGCTGTCGAGTGGGGAATGACCCTCACCAATTCCCGGGGCAAGTACACTCTGGACTTTGTTGCCAGAGCCGGACTCGTTGTTGTCAACGAGGGAAACACGCCAACTTTCTGGCGCCCTGGGATGCGGGGAACGATCCCAGACATAACCCTTGCATCTGAGTCCCTTTTGCCAAGGATCAGAGCCTGGAGAGTCCTGGAGGATTACACGGGCAGTGGCCACCAGTACATTATTTTTGATGTCCTGGATGGTCATCAGAGACAAGTAGCCGCGTTTCGTCAAGTGCCCGTTCGATGGAATATTAACAAATTGGACGTGGCAAAATTCGATGAAGCCATCTTACGAGGAACACCGGTGGTTCCCCCCGCAACTAGCGTGGCTCACGCAGAGGTGTTAGTTACATCCATGATGGGACTAATCGTCTCGGCTTGCGATGAGTCTATGCCTCGCAGGAGATCCCGGTGCAATAAGCGACCTGTGTACTGGTGGACTGCCGAGATTGAGGAACTGCGTCGGTCAGCATTGAGAGCCAGAAGACTAGCTACCAGGGCCAGAGAACCTGTAGACAGACGTAAGTCGGATGCTTACAGAGTGGCTAGAAGGTCTCTTCGTCGAGCCATCAACCGGAGTAAACGCAGTTGCTGGGAGACATTAAGGGACGATATCGATTCCAATCCGTGGGGCTTGGGTTACAAACTTGTAACCAAGAAACTTGGCACCCGCTCTCCACCTTCCGTCATGGATGGGGCCACTATGGAGAGGATAGTCGAGTCCCTTTTCCCGGCTCACACGTTGCGCCCACTGCGGGATTTCGGAAGGGTGGATGACATACCACTTTTCAAGTCTTGGAGAGGTGGAGGCGGCCGTCCTATCCCTGAAGAACGATTAGGCTCCTGGACCCGATGGGGTACCCGGCGAAGTCCTCAAAAAGGTTTTGACTATTAACCCCTTGATCCTTTTGCGCATGTACAACGCCTGCCTAGTCGAAGGAGTTTTCCCCTCGTGCTGGAAAACAGCTAGGCTTGTGCTTGTTGGGAAGGGGAAGGGAGCCCAGAGCTGCTATCCTCTTACAGACCTCTGTGTATGTTGGATACGGCTGGCAAAGTCCTTGAGAAGTTTATCCGTTCCCGACTACCTGTCCCCTCGCCAGTATGGATTCAGGATGGGGCGATCTACGGTTGACGCTGTTGAAGAGGTGAAGCAAGCCGTGATGAGAGCTGAGGATTTTAACCACTACTCTCGAAGGGTTGTGCTGCTCGTAACTCTCGATGTGCAAAACGCATTTAATTCGGCGAGGTGGTGCGATATGCTGGATGCTCTGGAGAACACCTTCCACGTCCCGGCATACCTCATGCGTATCATAGAGGATTATCTCCGGTTCCGCCTCCTCATGTACTTCCGGTGCTGCCCAAGGTTCCATACTCGGCCCGGATCTGGAATGTCGCGTATGACAGCCTCCTGAGGTCTGAAATGCCTGAGGAAACTGTTTTGGTTGGGTACGCGGATGACGTTGCAGTTTTGATAGCTGCACGTAGCGTTGAGCTGGCTCAGCTAAAGCTGAACCGAGTTATGCGTACTATAAACGCATGGATGACAGAACACGGTCTCTCGCTTGCTTTGAGCAAAACTGAGATCCTGATATTAACAAAAAAAACGGATTGACACCATCGTGCCATTGAGGGTAGGGGCCGTCGAAGTCCAGACTGTTCGTTCTGCCAAGCACCTTGGGATTATGGTGGACAGCAAGCTTAGCTGGTGGGATCAGATTTTCCGTACGGCGGACAAGGCCGCTAGGGTGGTCTCCTCTCTTAGCCGGTTGATGGCCAATGTCGGAGGGCCTCGGTCCAGCCGTAGAAGGCTGTTAATGTCTTCTGTCCAGTCCGTACTCTTGTACGGTGCTGAGGTGTGGGACGCTCTAAATAAGGAGGTATATAGGATGCGGCTTGCCCGAGTACAGCGTCAGGCAGCACTAAGAGTTGCATCCGCCTACCGAACAGTGTCCGAACCCGCCGTCCTGGTGGTTGCTGGAGTCATCCCCGTCAAACTTTTGGCGGCGGAGAGAAAAGCAATTTATCAGCGCCGTGGGGAGGACCAGGTACGAACAGAGGAACGCACCCGCACCTACCAGCTGTGGCAGGAGAGCTGGGAACAGGAGACTCGGGGACGCTGGACCAGGCGACTGATAAAGCAAGTCCAACCTTGGGTTAATCGGCGGTGCGGAGAGGTGGATTTCCACCTCACCCAATTTCTGACGGGTCACGGCTTTTCCCGGTCGTACCTGTTCAGGATGGGCAAAGCCGTGTCACCCGATTGCATATACTGCCCAGGCATTCGCGATAACGTGGAACATACCTTTTTCCACTGCCAGCGTTGGGAATGGCCCCGCCTGGAGGCTCAACAGTTAGTAGGACTGCTATCGGTGGACACGGTCATACCGATGATGACGGAGGGTGAGGACAATTGGACCTGTGTGTCACATTACATCCAGGGTATTCTCCGCGCCAAGAAGCTCGACCTTGACCGGGATGCGGTGTAGGTCATGAAGTATCCAAATGTCAAAAACGGTTAGAGCCCTCAGGGCTTAGGTCACATGTTGGCCTGACTTGAAGTAATGTGACAAACAATTCCAGGTCTGTGTCCAACAGAGTAGAGGGGTTTTTTTTGTAAGTAGTCTGTGATAGATTCAGGAGTCTCACACTACAGGCTGCCTACCTGTGTGCGTAAAAACATTTTCCCTCCTCTCCATAAAAAAAAAATATATTTTACCAAACAACACACTTTATTACCCTCCCGGCCGGCCTCCTTCTATCAACAAAACAAGGTACTGGTCAAACCTAATGTTCTTTAAATAGATTTAAAGAAAATCCAATCAGGCAAATGGAAATTCGCTTAGTCTGCTTGTTTGCTGAGGCGGGGGTATTTTCTAAAATCAAGATAATAAATATTTGCAAGGAAGCTTTAAAACATCTTTACTCATATTAGTATATAATATCATTGACTATACACAGTCAATGATAATATTTGCTTTTGTAATGTACTTAATGTTTTTATCTTTAGCCTGAGATGTCTAGTGCTTTATTGTTATATGTCTGTTAGAAGTCTTTCATTGTATGCTAATTGTGTTATTTGGTTCAGAGATAGAGTCAATGCAATCAGTTTAGCACTCTGGACATTAGATAATACAACCACTTGACTGTCTTTGTTTTATGTAACCATAAATAACCATCATTATCTCCCTTCTTTAAGCTCTTAGTTAATTAGATGTGATTCAGTATCCAATTTATTTTGATTTCTTTGTCAAATAAGTTTTACAATGTAAACAAACATGACTAATGTTTTTTTTAAAAAGAAAACAAATTGTTCAACAACCCTGCTGATGAGTGAATCTAATTAACACTGGTATGTATTAGTAGATGTAATGTTATTTGTTGCTACAACTACTTGCTTACATTTGTATCTGATTTCTAATTATAGTGTTTTTGTTTCAGAATATTTGTCAACCGAAGTTTGCATTTGGAAAATATAAAGTATTATGGATTCGACATGGACTACACCATAGCAGGTAAAGTAATATCAGTTGGCCAATCTTAGTTATTTATAAGGTAATTCACAAGTAATTAAATTGTTGTTCACAAATATTGATCATTATTAAACTAAAAATATTACACTTTCCACTGCTATAAATATTCAAGTTAAGTAGACATATACCCTCCGACTTAGGGAAGAATTGATTTGGAAATACAGTAAGACAGACATGGAGTCATATGAGATCATAGAATTCGTCCTTGTCTTGATATTTGATGGATTTTTATGGACAAGTTTTTACTTTTAATAGTTCTGTAAATCTATTTCAATTGGAATGTGATTAATCATGACTAATGTCAACCTTTGTTATCAGTCACACAAAATGTATATCCAATCCATACCACTTTGTATGGCTTATAATGTCAGGTTATTTAGTTTAAGAGTGATTGTGTGCCAGATGGTTAAGACAAATCCAAAAACTGTAAATTTAAAATTCTCATGTTGTTCTTATGGCAAATAAATTAATTATTGTAGTGTTGTTCATGGATACATTTTTATCAAATTTTGCAGACTTGTTTATTTTATACTGAGCTAGTAATGTTAATGGAAAACACACTTTATTACCTTCCCTGAAGCAGTACACCTTAATTACTCATTAAAATTTATATTATTTTAACATAAAATAATCAATCATAAATCAATAAACAATCACCTCTCATGTTTGTTCACAATGTGCCCTGTTAGGCCTATCAATGAATACAGGTCTGCAACAAATCTTTTTATTTCACAAACAAGTCTTCAGTGGAAATAATTTTTAAAATAAACTCAAACATTGTTTGAGCTTTGCTTTTATTATAATGGAATATTTATATCTTTTCAACTGTAATATCTTGCTTTAATATGCTTGTATACATTCATTGCTGATCCTCAGCCACTGTATTGGGAATTTCTGTGATGGACAAATCTATATATTAAAAAATATCGGTTTTTCTTTTCCGAGTCCGTCCGCCTCTTCTACCCGACCGAGTTTCATGATTTTGGTCTTAAATTAAAGGTATGCTCGCGTAGATTTGCCATCAAGCATCGGCATTCATTTATCTGACGTATTACTCGAGTTATGCACAAACGTAATTTGCTCCCTGTACATTTCTTATGGGAGATAAATTTGGTTTTTCTTTTCCGAGTCCGTTCGGCTCTTCTACCCGACCGATTTTCATAATTTTGGTCTTAAATTAAAGGTATTCACGTGTAGATTTGCCATCAAGCATCAGCATTCATTTATCTACAGTATTACTTGACCACAAAACATAAATTAGATTTTTTTTTTATTGTTACTTCAGTTGAAGATATATTTCCTTAGTTATAATTACGTAATCCTATATGTTTTGGTCTAAGAACCTTCAGTGAAATACTAGCTTTCATTTGAGCCCTTGATTATTAAGATCGGACGTACCTGAAGCGCGCTGCTGAATTCCAAACAATAAAAAATGTAATTATTTTGGGATTTACCGACAACCAGTGATCAATAACCCCATTTTTATTATTTTAGTTTGTTTATATGTTTTGTTCTTAAAATACTCCTAGAAATAAAAGCTTCCATTTGAGATATATATCGTTTGTATCAGTTATGTTCAAAATACTGTATTACTCAATCAAAAAACATCTTATATATTAAAAAAATTTGGTTTTTCTTTTCCGAATTCGATTGGCTCTTCTACCCGACCGATTTTAATGATTGAGGTCTCAAATTGAAGGTAGGCTATGCACGCAAAGATTTGCCATCAAGCATCGGCATATATTTATCTATAATCCTACTTGGTTTATACGTAAACAAAATTTACTCCCCATGTATTTCTTATGGGAATTAAATTTGGTTTTTCTTTTCCGAGTTCGATTGGCTCTTCTACCCGACCGATTCTCATGATTGAGGTCTCAAGTTGAAGGTATGCACCCACAGATTTGCCATCAAGCATCGACATGTATTTATCTATAATCCCACTCAGGTTATCCGTAAAAGAAATTTGCTCCCATGTATTTCTAATGATATGGGAATTAAATTTGGTTGTTCTTTTCCGAGTTCGTTTGGCTCTTCTACCTGACCGATTTTAATAATTGAGGTCTCAAATTGAAGGTATGCACGCACAGATTTGCCATCAAGCATCGGCATATATTTATCTATAATCCTACTTGGTTTATACGTAAACAAAATTTGCTCCCCATGTATTTCTTATGGGAGTTAAATTTGGTTTTTCTTTTCCGAGTTCGATTGGCTTTTCCACCCAACCGATTCTCATGGTTGAGGTCTCAAATTTAAGGTATGCACCCACAGATTTGCCATCAAGCATAGGCGTGTATTTATCTATAATCCCACTCAGGTTATACGTAAAAGAAATTTGCTCCCCATGTATTTCTTATGGGAATTAAATTCGGTTGTTCTTTTCCGAGTTCGTTTGGCTCTTTTACCCGACCAATTTTCATGATTGAGGTCTCAAATTGAAGGTATGCAAGCACAAATTTGCCATCAAGCATCAGCATATTTTTATCTTTAATCCCATTCAGCTTATACGTAAAAGAAATGTGCTCCCCATGCTTTTCTCATGGGAGTTAATTTTTTCTCTTTTTCGTGTTCGTTTGGTTCTCCTACCTGACCGATTTGCATAATTTAGGTCTCAAAATGAAGGTATGCACGCACAGATTTTACATCAAGCGTTGGCATATATTTATATATAATCCCATTCGGCTTATACGTAATCAAAATTTGTTCCCCATGCACTTCTTATGGGAGTTAAATTTGGTTTTTCTTTTCCGAGTTCGTTTGGCTCTTCTACCTGATTGATTTTCATGATTGAGGTCTCAAATTGAAGTCATGCACGCAAAGATTTCACATCAAGCATCGGCATATACTTACTTACCTACTGTATTACTCGACTAAAAAAATAATTTGATTAATTTTTGAATTCTTACATCAATTTAAGATGTATTTCACCAGTTATAATTATATAATCCTATATATTTTGGTCTAAGAGTTTTCAGTGAAATATCGGCTTTTATTTAAGCGATTAAGATACTGTATTACTCAATCAAAAATCATAAATTTGACTTTTCCCCGGATATTATATTTATTTAAACGCTGCGGAGCAGCATGGGTCCTCTAGTTGAATTGAATTGTTTTGAGGTATGACCGTTACATTTAGCAGCAGCAGTTTGTCAGTGGTTCTGTTGATTGTAACATTGTGTCTTTAATTGTTGCAGAATACAAGTCACCTCAGTATGAAAGACTCGGGTTCAACCTGATAAAGAAGAGACTAGTATCTCTTGGATACCCCCAGGAAATATTAGAGTTTGAATACGATCCCTCCTTCCCCATCAGGTACATAACTTAGTCAACACTCATTAGGTGTTTTTAAAAATCTTTTTCACCTTTTCTATTAACAGTATTTCAATACTTAATATGTAAATACAGTCTAGTTAAATCAATCAGCCATATGGGTTATATTCTATACTAGCATTGACTATAACTAGCCAACCCATGTGAAGCATTCACACTCAAATCCCTTCCTTCTCAAATCCCACTTTTCGAGGTACAAAACATACTGTTAATTTTGAGTAGTAAGTGTATTGTTAATTTAAGTACAGTATGGGTTAAATCCACTTCAGGAATAGATGAGGGTTTACATTTTAGATAATAAACCTTTTCAAAATATAATGTTAAGTTACGTTTTTACATGTTTACAGGACCTATTTGAAAACTATGATTGAAGTAATAATATGGCCATATACGATTTTTATGTTGATGGCTTTGTTTTTGTTTTTACGCAGACATAGTTTTCACTGAAAAAGCGCACCCTTGACAAAGCCACAAAAACTGAATGTGTGAAAAAAATGGGGTCTGGCACGTACAATCCTTCCCTCGTAAGCTTCTGTCCAGTGTACATGTGCCTTATTTAAAGTCATGGCAAAGGTAACTTTTAAGAGAAATTTCTTCTTAGTCAGATTGAAAGCATTACAGACTATTGCGTAGAATGACAGGTTGACCGGAGTCAGCCAACTTCGCTTTCATTTTGTAGGTGTCCAAGTGAGCTACAATCAATCTTGTACCATGCTTAGGTTTCTCATCAACATGATAATAAGTTCTTTTTAGCATGGGTTTATGAGGTAATTAAACTAAAGGGGTTAATGAGTAGAAAATAAAAACTCTTTATGGATACAACTGAGCGCTGTACGTCCCTTGGTAAAGAACTGAATCAAAATAAACCATTTCCTGTCGGTAAGAAATTTGACAAAACATAACCATACATTGAAACCTGTAATAAATAAATAGTGGGGTCGTATAGCTGCATATTGTGGCAGAATATTTCAGTTCTGGCAGAGAGGCTGCAATTTTAGGTGGTTATAGTATACAAGTTTCTGAACCTAAAACCGCCCAGACCCCAATTTTTAAGGACCTCGGTCGTCCGTAATGACGTCATCAAAATGGCGGCCGTAAGAGGATGCTGGGTCCCCATGAATTGGCAATAACGACCGAATGCCTGAACCGATTTTCATGAAATTTGGCACACAAGTGCTTGAATACATTATCTCGGCCTGGGTTGAAAATGGTCAAGTTTCATCAAGTCATTTCAAAATGGCGGCTGTTCAAAACTAAAAGATTATGAGGAAAATAATTGTGAATTGTTTTATACAGGTTGAGTTTTTAATGAGTTCCCCCCCCCCCCTACTTTTTTATACATTTCTTAAGATATCAACTCCGAATCACGTCAGATCATTGTAGAGTAGCAAGTACTTCATTTTGACTGGGTTAAAATTTTTAGCCGCCATCTTGGATCCGCCATATTGGATACAAAGTTATTTTTTCAAATGTAAAGGTAGGGTTGTGACCCACCGTTTCAAACAAGACTTTTACGATGAATACGATGCTGCCATTTTGAAATGACTTTATGAAACTTGACCATTTTGAACCCAGGCCGAGATAATGTAATCAAGCACTTGTGTGCCAAATTTCATGAAAATCGGTTCAGGCATTCGGTCGTTATAGCCAATTCATGGGGACCCAGCATCCTCTTACGGCCGCCATTTTGATGACGTCATTACGGACGACCGAGGTCCTTAAAAATTGGGGTCTGGGCGGTTTTAGGTTCAGAAACTTGTATACTATAACCACCTAAAATTGCAGCCTCTCTGCCAGAACTGAAATATTTTCCTGCTACCCAACCTGACTAAAAAGATAAGAGATGATGTTTTAATATGGAATTCTTAACCACCTGACCACCAAAACAGCTGTTTTTGGTGATCGACATTGTATACAACATTATTACATATTCTGAAACTACAATAAATTCCCTACAATTTATATATCTCCAAATCTGAGGTTGATTGTAAAACTGTTTTAAAAAGTTAGTTTTTAAAGTTTTAAAAATGTCATAAAAATTATGTTTTTGTAAAAAAAGTCAAAATTTTACATTCTGACGTCAATTACTCAAAAAATTTAAATTCAACTGCATATAACTATATATTTTCAGAAAGATCTTTTATTTTTCTACTAGCAGAGTACCCGTCCTTCGTACGGGGTTGGAATATAAGTATAAAATGCTTATTGCAGTTATACTTAAGCTTTGCGATTGCAATGGGTGGAGGACACAGTTTGATAAAATTTGCTTTTTTAAATTTACAGTATTCTATAGTATTACACATCTACCATAGCCATAATGTTCTACCATTTCACCAAACAATAGAGAAAAATAAATTATCAATTCGCAAAATATCACAAATTATTCATGAAATGAAAAACATAAACATAACTGTAAACAATCCTACTTTGACAGTTCTCATTGCGAATCACAGTTTTTTGTTGCTGCTTAGTTCAAATTAGCTGTTTTCATAAATGCAAAAAAAATATAGTGCTGCACCCTGTTGGTAAATCTTACAACTTTTTAATGCTTTTCCATATCATAGAACCAACTTTTTTAGTTGAAACAGCTGACTAAATTCTTTAATTCCCTTTAAATATAAATACTTATAAGGTTAACATGGGGAATTACAGAGCCACTGGGGCGGAGCCCGAAAGGATTTTTGAGATAAGAATATGCCTATATGTTAATCGGGAATGTAAGCTATCATCATGCCAAATTTCAGCCCAATCCGTCCAGTGGTTTATGCGTGATTGAACTTCAAACAAACAAACAAACAAACAAACAAACACACAAACTTTCACATTTATAATATTAGTAAGATTATGTTGTATCATATTTATTTACTGTTGATGCATACAATTTATTTCTTATATGACAAACTAATTTGGTAATTTTTCACACAAAAAATGTTTGTACATTTTGTTTAAATAATTTTATTTTTATAAGTTTCTCAAAAACATTGATATTTATACGTAGGGAATCATATTTCATAAAACCTTTATAATAAGATCAAATGTGTAAAAAAAAAATATTTTGTGGTTTTCTTGTCTTTTGAAATTTCTTATTTGCATCATCCGTAAATCTGCAAACTTTTTGCTACTACGTCTAAGCGCATTGCTAGAAATTGTTTTTTTATATCATTATATATTATCACTGAAACAGAAAACATGTATTTATATGCACAAATAACTGTTCTGTTGCATAATATATGGTACCACTAAAAAAGGGTCAAAATATACCCTCCACTGGTGAATAAAATGACTGCCACGTGTAGGGTTAAATATTCATAGAACGGTTGGTAGGTATGTGGAAATGAAGGCTATGACTTAAATAAAGAAGTACAAAAGCTGAAGTATCCATGTGGTACTTACTTTTGAGTTGTTCTTGTTGAGACTCCAAGTGAATAATCTGATTTCTTCTACAGAATTATTTATCATAGAAAGCACAGACTAAGTATGTTGGTCACCATGGATGAAGTAAAAACAAATCACTCGGATTTAATAAGTAAATATTAGTTTGTTTTGATAAATTTAATTTGCATGAATAAACATTTAAAATCTAAATTACTCGCAGAATGATATCATTGATAGTTTTAGGTGAGTGTGGAAAGTTTCTCGAGTGCAGCAAAGGCAGTTTGCACTCGTGTTTAGGGGTCTCAATCCCGGGATCCCGGTCGATTTTTGATACCTAGAAATCCCGGGATCCCTAAATATATGTTTCAGTTTTTACACGATATGGATTTACTTTCTGTAAATGTTATTACATTAATTAGAACTTCATTACAGTAGGCCTACAAGTTATTTTTAGTTTTACTTTTGACATTAAACGTAAACAACGCAATTCGTGTAGCAAACATAACATTGCAATCGGAAATTTAAGTATTATTTTTATTTAAGCCATAAAATATACCGTAACTATAAACACACAATTATAATCTCATTATTAAGATTGCTTATATTTAGGGTCTATAACTTTATCTTCTTATTTGGTTATTAGTGTGGTGATTAAATTTCTTACAATCTAAAATTACGTTTTTCATACACACGCTACTACATAAGCAGGTGGTTTATTGTTTTACAGTATCTTATATTGTTTTATTGCTGTCAGTCAAAATAACATTATTACGCTGCTACTCGTGATTTTTCCCTTTTTATCTTCAATCCATCTATTAGTGTGACGTATAGGCTACGTGCGAGTGCGGTTGCTCGTGATTTTTTTAAATGTATTTATTATATTCTAGAGTGACATATCAACATTTATACACTGTAAATAAGAAATACGGGCGATGAAAGTTCCCCGTGGTAATATTTATTTACTTAGAAAACGGAAACACTACACAGTGTAACACTGGTAAAGGCCAGTTTAAAACATTAAAGTACTTAACGAGGGGACTTCTCACTAATTTAAAATGGCCAAAAAGTTAAAAATCATAATATTATATAATCCCGGGATCGGCTGAGACGAATCCCGAAATCCCGGGATTGGATTGAAGGCCCGGGATTGAGACCCCTACTCGTGTTACACATTATATATTTCCTACAGTTACTATAAATCATATAAATAATTAGTCTTTCAAACACTGTACAAGACGTTTTGAGGTTAGGTTAAATCCAAACATTGAACGAAATGGGAAACTCTGCACCAGCTGATCGTAGTCGTAATATCTTTAAGTATTTCCAACTTGTTTTCAAGCGTACAGGGATGACGTGTATAATAAAAGCACACGGTTTTGTGTTGTTTGGTTGGAATACTGGTGTGCACCAAAGTAAAGCTTTATGTAGAATAATCTTTGTAAGGAAGCCCACTTTGTTGGGTGACTAGGAAAAAATAATTAGTTCTGTTATTATTACCCCTCAAACGTTTTTATTTAAAATCATTTTTGTAAAAAAATCCTTGTAAATGAGATTTTTAATACAGTACTAGACACAAAACTTAAAAAAGTGTAGTTTGTAAAGAATAAAGTCAATGTAGTCTGTATTTGAAGGCAGTTACTGTATTAGGTAATGATAATGGTTGGGATCTCATGACATATTGTATGCTTTCAGAGGCCTCTGGTTTGACACAACTTATGGCAACCTATTGAAAGTGGATGCCTATGGAAATATTCTAGTCTGTGTTCATGGCTTCAAGTTTCTAAAGCAGTAAGTTTAAATATTACCTCTTAATTGTTTACTGTATAGGGTAAGTGTAACATATCAGTTTCAATGACAATGTCATGTATGTATAAATCAATGTATCACAGTAGTAGGAATTGTGTCCTGTTTTAAACATTTTATTTTAAAGTGTTTATTACCTTCTTTTTTTAATTTCTTTAATACTCTTACATTTCTGTTTTCTTGTATGACTCAAAAATCCATTCAAAAAAATTTTGATTTAAATATGTAAATTTATAAAAACTTTTGTTGCATAACAAGCCACTATTGCCTATAATTAAAGAGTTTTAAAGGTTTCATTTGGTGTTTATCTTAATCTGAGTAAAATATCGTAAACCAATATGCAAGCAAATGTCCCTTGTTAGAAATTTGTTTCTTGTAAAATATTCATGTCATTACCATTAAAATGTATGATTATAACATTATCTTTTCAAACGCACTTATTATGTCATTCTACTAACCAGTATTTGTAACAATGAATCAAGAAATGATGTACAGTATTAAGAGTAGGTACTGTGCACGATGACAACATATTTAATATTTAGGAGCACTAGAACTTATGCAGAGCTAGTTCTAGCTACTCTATTGACACAAAAATAAATCTATAAATAGCATCTGAAGGTCATTTGTAAAATTGTGGGTTACAAATCACTGCATGTTCAGAATAACTTGGCCAGTAGCTTATCTTTTAGTTTAAGCATCATAAATTCAAAATAATTAAATACAGGATCCAACATTGAAATAAGTTTCAAATATATTTGGATACATTAACAATGTTATGATCTGAGATATTAACATTATATTACACATGAGTAGTTGTTACCAAGTTGAATGGAAAATCTACTACATTAGTTACGTAGTCTATTCTAACCTATTGTTTACTAAACACTTAGGTGTAAACCGTAAACCTCCATTGAGGTGTTTACAATCATTTAACACAACACACTTCGCTCAGTGGAATTTTAAAAATTCTCGTTATTTGTCATTATATCGATACATTTTAAGTAATGCTAAAAATAAGAGAATCGTTTTTATTACAATTGATATAATTTATATAACACTAATCAATGTGTAGGCGTCAATATTTTTAATTTAGTTTTCTTTGTTTTGAGAAATTAGTTAGTCTAGTGTTGTTTACTTTCCGTGATTATAATAATACTTACAATGCTAATCAAGAAGAGTGTTGGCAAGTGAGCTGAATGTTGTGTGATTTTGCAGTACAGTATAATGCAGTATGTAATTAAGTGTTTTATGTATCATTGACATGTATGTTTGCTGTCAGCAATGAAGTGTACGAACTGTACCCAAACAAGTTCCTGCAGCTGGATGAGTCCCGAGTGTATGTGCTCAACACACTGTTCAATCTACCTGAGACGTACTTGTTGGCCTGTCTGATAGACTTCTTCACAACCTCAGCAGAGTACACCCAGTGAGTACTGTAGTACCTTCACTAGATACCTAACACCTATAAAGATGTTTTCTGAAAAATTAAAAATGATTTTATTTACACACAAAATTTAACAATGTCAGTTGATTTTGGTAACAACCATACTAAGGCCTTGGTTACACGAAGCCAGTAGATGGGCAGGTTACCTGTCTTCTAGCCTGAAGAAAAGGCGGCTTTAAAGTGGACTTTTATAACAAAACCAAAACTTGACACAGGTTAAATTATTTAAAAAATCATAATATTTAATATTGAAGAAGGTTAGCGAAGCACTATAGTAATCAAATTAGTAACTTTACACAAGTGCAGTAGGTGAAAATGGTGTCTTAGTGACACAGCTTGCTACTGTGTCATAGTAACAACTTGGTACTAGAGAAATCAAGTGACTGATAATAATTTTGGTTTTACTGCACACATCAATGGCTGTCTGAATCAAACCTCTATTTTAATGATTTGTCAGTAAACTTTTGTCCTAAACATTATTTCTATCAGTCACTAAATATACAAGTAATGAGGAAAATCAAAATTGCAATACTACATGGTACAAAGTTCTTTTATGCCAGTGAGTGAATACTATCAGCAACTAGAAGCTTGAACATATTTGACCGGACTGAAGATACAGTAAACAGGGGTGCCCAGAGGGGGGTTACTGTGGGGATTTTGGGGGGATATTTTTCTGCTATCGGTCATAATAAATTTATAATATTGTATAAGCAACCCGAAAAAGTGTTTCTAAGTATTTCACTATCAAAACCAACAACATTTTGCTATTTGTAATTAAGATTACTTCTAAACATTTTAAAAACACGATTTTTCATTCAAAACCTTAACATTTACGGTAGTGTTGAATTTTACTTGCTACAAATTTCCATTTGCTTGATTGGATTTACTCTAAAATATTTCATTTGAAATATCACAAAATTATTTTCTATTTAAATAGCATTAGTTTAACAATTACTTAAGTTTGCTGCAACAGGGAGGGCCTAGAAGTGTTTAAGTAAAATGTTAATACAGTAGCCTATGTAGTTTAGTATGAAAAACATGCATTTTCCAAATTTGATCAAAATATGTTCATAAACAAGCAAACTACAACAGTTATTTGTTCTCCATAAGAATAGCATAGAGATTTTAAATTAACAATTATTTGAATTAACTCCGTAACTATTAGGTGCATAATGATGCTTCAGTATACTAAATAACTTGTTTTTTTAAGCTCTACAATATGGTTTGGAAAGAAATTGCAAAATGTTATGTTTTTAGGCCCAAAAATGGGAAAAACCAATTTTTACCCCATAAAACCCCCCATAAACCCCCGTTATCTTGGTCCAATTTTGCTGGTTCGTGAACTCGTTCTTCATAAATGTAGGTTTACACGTTTATACCAATTTTCATCAAAATCTGATAATTTTTGCTTGATTCATCGTGGTAACGGAGGAACACATATAATATGAATTTCAATGGACAGTGTTTTTGGCCTCTAGGGACCTCCAAACGTGAAAATAAATCAGCCCCAGGTCCATGTCTTAACATGAGTACTACGAACACGGTAGTTGCATATTCCCTATATGAAAAATTCACTGAAACAAACAATCATATTTTTTTACTAAACTTGGTAGTAAATTGTTAATCTATGTGATGTACTGGTAGCTCATATTTTACTTTAATGTTTCAGTGATAAGACTGGAGTTAAGAGTGGTCATTTGATCATGTCTTTCAAATCAATATTCCAAGATGTGAGAAACGCCACAGATTGGGTACACATACAGGTAGGTAAATACAGTTTTGATCTTGTTATGTCCCCTGTAGAGTATATTTGTCATCAGCAAGCATTGCTGGCAGTACAATAATGATGCAAAATTATAAGTTTCTTTTAATCATTTCATTTATGAAACTTTTTTTAAGCTTCAGAAATAGTTCAAAACAAATACGTCTTGTATTAGAACTCTATAATTTGATAGGTGAGTTCTGCATATTGATATTTAATTCACTGGTGCTTTTGCCATTTATTTTTCCATTAACTGCTTTATGCTTTTTTTATTCATTAAGTTGCTGACATACCACTAACTGAAAAGGTATTTTTTTACTGAACGTTTCATTCTATTACTCTTTGGTAGTAATAGCCTATTGTGTTCAATATAAATTTGGAAACATTGCTTAAAGCCCATTGGACAACTTAAATGAGGTCCAAGTGTCAGCTTATTGCATCTATTCATCCTTTCCATTCATACTAGACTTCTCAGGCAGTTATTGTGACAGTTTTGTCTTTGTGTTTATTCCTTATTTTTAGGAAAGAAATTGTTCAATTTTAAAATTATGCTTAGCTTGAATGTTTTTCTTTGCCTTTAGTAATGGCACCCTGGCTTGCAACCGGATAGTCAATTTATTGTGTATTTTATGTTCAATTAATATCTTTTTGTTTTAGGGAGACCTCAAATCTGAGACTGTAAAGAACCTTGATGAGTATGTCAAGAAAGATGAAAGACTGCCAGTATTTTTGAGCCGCCTTAGGGAGAGCGGAGCTAAAATCTTCCTTCTCACAAACAGTGACTACAGGTTCACTGACCACATCATGACTTATTTATTCGATTTTCCTCATGGTCCGAGAGTAAGTATTTTTTTACATGTTAATTTAAAATCCAACTTAACACAATCGAAACTTAAAACATATTATGACAAACTGTGCAGCAACCTGACAATTCCATGTCAGTAAAGTATAGATATATAGTATTCTACCAATCATCCACTTGTGGATTAATCTCGTGTAACTATAATCGCAAAATAAAAATGCATTATGCTAATTAAATGTACGTTATACAGCGACATCATGGTGTTTAGCAGGATGAGAACTTTCATCTCGTGGGCAGACTATAGAGTTACCTTTCTTTACTTCTCAAGCTGATGTGTTATCGATTGCAACCGAGGAGTTGTGTTTTTTTTTTTTTTTACTAGACCTGTATATAGGCTGTCCAATATTATTTGGTTTAAATTGGGTGAAACAAAGTTAAAAGATATCTACACTGTATTTATATTATTTTATTATTACCTAAACCTGTATTAAAGCTTACAATATGAGGCCAGTAGGCAGACAGGTTTCCTGGTTCAGTTAGTGTATTTCAAGCCATACTTACAATATGAAGCCAGTAGGCAGGCAGGTTTCCTGGTTCAGTTAGTGTATTTCAAGCCATACTTACAATATGAAGCCAGTAGGCAGGCAGGTTTCCTGGTTCAGTTAGTGTATTTCAAGCCATACTTACAATATGAAGCCAGTAGGCAGGCAGGTTTCCTGGTTCAGTTAGTGTATTTCAAGCCATACTTACAATATGAAGCCAGTAGGCAGACAGGTTTCCTGGTTCAGTTAGTGTATTTCAAGCCATACTTACAATATGAAGCCAGTAGGCAGGCAGGTGTCCTGGTTCAGTTAGTGTATTTCAAGCCATACTTACAATATGAAGCCAGTAGGCAGACAGGTTTCCTGGTTCAGTTAGTGTATTTCAAGCCATACTTACAATATGAAGCCACTAGGCAGGCAGGTATCCTGGTTCAGTTAGTGTATTTCAAGCCATACTTACAATATGAAGCCAGTAGGCAGACAGGTGTCCTGGTTCAGTTAGTGTATTTCAAGCCATACTTACAATATGAAGCCACTAGGCAGGCAGGTATCCTGGTTCAGTTAGTGTATTTCAAGCCATACTTACAATATGAAGCCAGTAGGTAGGCAGGTGTCCTGGTTCAGTTAGTGTATTTCAAGCCATACTTACAATATGAAGCCAGTAGGCAGGCAGGTGTCCTGGTTCAGTTAGTGTATTTCAAGCCATACTTACAATATGAAGCCAGTAGGTAGGCAGGTGTCCTGGTTCAGTTAGTGTATTTCAAGCCATACAATATGAAGCCAGTAGGCAGGCAGGTGTCCTGGTTCAGTTAGTGTATTTCAAGCCATACTTACAATATGAAGCCAGTAGGTAGGCAGGTGTCCTGGTTCAGTTAGTGTATTTCAAGCCATACAATATGAAGCCAGTAGGCAGGCAGGTGTCCTGGTTCAGTTAGTGTATTTCAAGCCATACTTACAATATGAAGCCAGTAGGTAGGCAGGTGTCCTGGTTCAGTTAGTGTATTTCAAGCCATACTTACAATATGAAGCCAGTAGGCAGACAGGTTTCCTGGTTCAGTTAGTGTATTTCAAGCCATACAATATGAAGCCAGTAGGCAGGCAGGTGTCCTGGTTCAGTTAGTGTATTTCAAGCCATACTTACAATATGAAGCCAGTAGGTAGGCAGGTGTCCTGGTTCAGTTAGTGTATTTCAAGCCATACAATATGAAGCCAGTAGGTAGGCAGGTGTCCTGGTTCAGTTAGTGTATTTCAAGCCATACTTACAATATGAAGCCAGTAGGCAGGCAGGTGTCCTGGTTCAGTTAGTGTATTTCAAGTCACCTGAGGAAACCTACCTGCTTTACTGGCCTCTTGTTAACTCACTTTCAATGATTAATGATTAGATGACAAATTGACTTAAATTATAAAATTTGACAACTACTAATGTTTTTTTTTTTTCAGCCTGACGAACCACACAGGAACTGGAAGACATACTTTGATGTGATTGTAGTAGATGCAAGGAAGCCTCTATTTTTTGGAGAAGGCACAATCCTACGACAAGTGGACACCACGACAGGTGCTTTGAGGCTGGGTACCCACATGGGTCCCTTACAGAGAGAACAAGTCTATTCTGGCGGTGAGTCTAGCAACACTTTTAGTGATAATAGGGAAAATTAGAATGTGATTAGACGTTATTCTATTGACATTCTTGAGACTCTCTCATTCCAAGAAAACAACTATTAAAAAAACTAGCGTGCCTGTTGCTCGAAATCGAGCAATTGTCAAGTACCGCTATTATACAGGCGTTATTTAAAACTTCAGTGATAACAGTCATAAATTTCTATTTCAATAAGTTAAAAAGACTCAAAGCTTTTGTAACTAATTGAAATACTCACTCTATTAATAACGGGTTGAAATAATAAACACTTATTGTAAAAATGTTCATTTTTTAGAAGCCGGCCTTACTTTTTAGTGTTTTATACAAATGTTTCCCTACTTATAGCTGTTAACATTTCTTGCATGTATTCATTTGATCTGACATTTAGGTAGGTTTTCTTTACTATTGTGACTGTGAAACATGATTTGTATACTCTTCATGATTTTTTTACTTGCAAAAATAAGTTGCATAGCAGAACTGGTAAAAATTATTCACCTCTCCAAGTGATTTTGTATCTGGATTCCTTACTGTTGGACCAGGCCTCTCTTATAGTCTTCTCATACGTATAAGATTTCCTCTTAACCTCCTCCTGCTTTCAATATTTCTTCTTTAAACTCAAGGAATTTTCTGTTCCTCCAACAAAAGTGATTAACTGTTTGGATTGGTCTATAACCTCCTGAATATTACAATTACAAACATTAATATTTACTCCTAAGAAGCTGGTGCAGGGTTGCCACCAGCCATGAAAACCTTGAAAAGCTTGAATTATGCATGAATTCTTGTAACCATGAAAAAAAAACATGGATTATGCATGAATTTCTCCATTGAACCATGAATTTAAAAATCGGGATTAATTATTCAATCAGTACAGTTAAATTTGCCAAATAAAATTTTTTTGTATATTTAAAAACAGTTCATAGAAACCAACACCAAGAGAATACTGTCTGGAGATTAACATGTTCCACGATCAGAAACAAACACTTAAGTCTTTCCGAACACTTAATATGGTTCGAAAAATCATTAGTAGGCCAACTCCCGCGTATGGATAAAGGGACTTGAATCACAAAAACAGAAGTTTTAGACCATGCTCGGAATTGAAACGGGGTGTGCAATAAAACAAATTTTTAGCTTTGTGGATAAACCAATCATATCTTAGTACGTTGTGTCATAAGATAAACCAGTAAACTTAAAGGATATTTTATGACATTCATGTGGAGGGATAAAACCGGACTTTTTTTGGCCAGGTGTGCGGTATCTTTGTTCCGGTATGTTTATTCCGGTGGAAAGACTGAAGTAGACCTACACTTATATATAGATATTTTACAATTCTTCCCCAATGTGTCAGTATTAGCTGGACCCGTTTTGTTTTCCACTTTGTTTTGAATGTATATTTATAAATCACTCTAAAATAGTTAAATTTCATGTATGAAAGGTTATTCAATAGTAACACGCAAAGAAACTGCCTCTTTAATGTCAATTTCTGAAATCAGCAAAAATCAATTGTGTTGAAATTATATGACAAATCAACCATGAATTTTTTTTCAACTGCCCATGAAAACCATGAATTCTGCATGGATTTTTTGATCTCACTATGGTGGCAACCCTGTAGTGAGTTTCTTTTTATATACAGCTGTTTTTTTGTTTTTAAATTTGTTCAATGTAATTCTTCTGGCGAAAACCCGACCTTTGAAAGGGTCTCGTGCCCTTAAGGGTAGGAACTTATAAAATCTAAAACCCTTATGCAAAACTACGAATTGGGCCGAATCTTATGACACCTTAAACATTGAAATTGGTCAACCCTCACGTATTAATATAAGAGATGTTTGTTCAGAACACAGAGCCTAAGACAAGTATTCCTATTTTCCTCCATGTTAAATTCTCTTTAAATGTTCTTGATAAATATTTCAATGTTAGACTTTTTCAAGTTGGTCAATATTTACTTTAAAACATTTTTCTATATCAATATCGTTAACTATACGTGCACATAATAATTTCAAAATTATTTATCCTTTTGTCTAAAATAATAGTCACATGAATGTATACTGGTACATCAATGAATAAATCCATTCAAAACTTCAACTTTGCCTAAACAACGTACATAATTGTAAAACAAATATAGAACCTTCTGTAGTGTACCAGCTGGTGTTATTGTCATGTGTTTTAATATCTATTAATTGTTGAAATGTTTGCGCCACACTACACTGTTTTGACAAACTTCCCACGCAAGGATCTAGTCCAGAAAACAGCTGTTTGCCATCAGCTTAATCAAATGGGGTTTCATTACGTACTACTGTACTGTAATGAGTTTTACCGGACACCAACCAGCTGATTATATACTGTATTTGATAATGAGTGAGAGTGGTTAGTTTATAAACAAAAAAAAAAACCTCTCTTAGAGATTATGACTAGTGATTATTAGTCCTTTAGTCGGTGGTGATATATAACGATTTTTACGGATTTAGTAGTATGGTGTAAAATATCGTATGTCCAAAATGTGTTTACCGGACTCGTATGGTAATCCCGTACTCGACTTTGTCTCGCACGGGAACAACCACACTCGTCTGGTAAACACCTATTTTCAGGACTAGTAACACAATATACTATTACAATCCAGTTAGTTTGATTAACATGTTGGATATACAATAAAAATCTTCACTTTTAGAGTTACTTATGTTCTTTACACTATTTTTTATGGTTGTGAAAGAAATTTCACTCCATTTGAAACCTTCACTCCATAACTGTAACCTGTTTACCTACTACTAAATATAGCTGCCAATAAGTTAAATGATTCCAAAACTAAGTTTAAAATCATACTAAAGAGGACCCTATAATTTATTTTATTAAAGTTTTGTCAGGAACAGTACACTTTCTAAATATGTTTATAGGTTTATTTCAAAGATGTTTTTTACAGCAAAGTCAACAAATACAAATTTCCGAAATAATATTGTTTAATTGTTACCGTAATATGTGGTTCCAAATTTGCATATTGGCATACATTGCATAATAGCAAACATTTGCTATTGGTTCGAAAGAAGATGAAGAAATTGACCAGCATATGATACTAAATACTGTGCAAAACCTGCTTTCAGTAATCCCTTTAATCACACAATGTTTAAGAAGATATTTACACAATTTTTAATGTCTATTAATCATCCATAGGCTCTAATACCATAGTAAAAAGAGATTTTAACCTATATTTATAGGGTTCATTTTGTTGATATAAGCTGTAAATAAGTCGTTATTGTTGAGTGACTATTACTTTTATTATGGCTAAATTATACATAATACCATAAAATATGATATATCACCCCTTATTTTCGGTGAGTCGGTGGCTCAGTTGGTAGCGTCTTGGACCTCGGGCCCAAGGCGGCGATGTCGTGGGTTCGGATCCTGGTCATTGCCACAAACATTTTATCAGTACAGTTCACCTTTGTACTGTACCGGCTGACCCCTTGCTTTGCTGGATACGTTCCACGCACAGATCTGTAGTCTATGTGGATGGGAAAAATGCAAGGATAAGAGAGGGCGCCAACCTCTTAAAAAAAAAAAACTAATTTACAAGATTCTTTATTTACAGGATCATGTGATGTATTCACGGAATTGATCGGAGCAAAAGGTAAAGATGTCCTATATGTTGGGGACCACATTTTCGGTGACATCCTCAAGTCAAAGAAGATCAGAGGGTGGCGCACATTCCTCATTGTACCAGAGCTTATCCAGGAACTGCATGTGTGGACAGACAAGTGTCAACTGTTTGCTGAACTGCAGGGTCTGGACATTGTGTTGGGCGACTTGTACAAGTGAGCACCTATCATACTTGTGTTAATAAATTCAAAACATTTAAGTTATCATCTTGAATGGGATTTGCTATCATTTGGAAAATTAAATAAACTCTAAATGTGAACCAATCAAGAACTAATTAAATAAATAATTGCTTATTGCAGTTCACAGAAGGAGTGTCATATAAGTTATAGCTGAAATATTCCATTTATTCATTAATGCAAAACACGAATAAAAAAGTGTTTGCAATGTTTAAAACAAAAACCCTTGAAAGAATTAAATTTTTTAGCGAATTTTCCATGGGTAATACTCCTATTATGCTATTGTAGGTCTCACGGTAAGACCTGGACCCGACACAGATTTACTTTTTCGCTTTGAGGTCCCCAGAGGCCAAAGACACCATCCGTTCAAATTCATATATATATTTCTATATATAAAATATTTATTTATTTTATAAGTGTTCGTTAGCACGATAACTCAGGCAAAAATGAGCCGATTTAGATTAAATTTGGTATAAACTTGTAAACATACATCTATTTTAACGAGTTTGTGAATCAGCATGATCAGACTATGGGGGCGGGTTAATGTGGGGTTTCATGAGATAAAAATGGGTGTTTTCAATTTTTTATCCTAAAAACATAAAATTTTTTAATTTCTTTCTGTTTTGTAGAGCTAATAAAAAACAAATGTCTAATGGTTACGGAAAAAATTCAAAAAATGTAAATTTAAAAATACCATGTATTTCTTATGCATATAAAATAAACAGTTGTAGCTTGCTTGGACATATTTTAATGAAATTTAGAAAATTTGACTACTTCATTACTAAGCTATCAATATTTCAATAACAGACACACCTTTTTTTCTTTCCTGTAGCAGCAAACCTAAGTAGATACCCATTAAAATTAATGGTACTTAAATAAGAAATAAATCTGATGGGAATAATTTACTGAACCTCCAGCCATGTAGATGGAAATTCACTTAGTCTGCAGGTTTGCTTCGGTGGCGGTATTGTTATTTTGTAATTTTGGGGTCCATCCAAGCATTCCAGGCTTCATACAAGAATGGATTTATCAATACTTACTTAGTCCAAAGAAGTGTATACATAAAATCATATTGTTTGTTTATGTAATTGATTTGATTATAAGCTTGAGTCTGCTAGGAAACAAACATACAATTTAAAATGGAAAGATGCCAATTTCCGTTAGCTTTGTCATTTGCAATGACAATCAACAAAGCACAAGGGCAATCACTTAAAAGAGGAGCACTGTTCTTAACCAGACCAGTTTTCAGTCATGGGCAACTACCGGTATTTGTTGCTTTAAGTAGAGAATAGAGATACATATTTTGATTGTGTACGCATATTCACTACGGAAAATTCTTACCAGCGTAATCTTCCTGAAGGCGATTTCACGACTAAAACCGTAGTATTCAAGTACTTTTGTGAATAAAATATATTTTTTTGTGTTTGTTTTTTAAGGGGTTTTTCAAGAAGCATTTTTATGTGTTTCAAATGTGCTGCATGTTGGTTTTATTAAATGTATTTTAAAATCTTTTAAAAAATAACTATAAAATACTTTATAACTTATTAATTACTAAATACAAGCCATATTGGCTTTTGTGGCTTGGAATTGTATGTGTTTTGTAAATTTGTATAAAAAAAAAAATATATATATATATAAGACATATGGAGCTAGAAAATTGATGGACTGCAACTTTAATTCAATAAAAATTACATACATTTTGACGTTCAAGGAGCAACAAGACTCATTGTTATTTGAAAGGGACTCAACACAAAGTTGTAAATATTTGTTGTAGAATGAAAAAGCTATAAATATTGTTTTGATACAGAACAAGCACTGTAAAAGATTTACCCAAAACAATACCTCAAATAATATGTTAAAATATAACTTGCACCAATGCTTGTACTTTTAAGAACTCAGCATGAAAAACTTAACATTAATTATTTTTTTCAGAAACTTAGATAGTAGCACAAAAGAGAAACCAGACATTTCCAAAGTTAGGAACGCCATCAGAGAAGTTACCCACAAGATGGATATGTCTTATGGCCTGCTTGGAAGTCTGTTCCGCTCAGGCTCCAGGCAGACATTTTTCTCGTCACAAGTTGTCCGCTATGCAGACCTTTACGCTGCCACACTGCTCAACCTCCTCTACTACCCCTTCAGCTACATGTTCCGAGCACCGCCAATGCTGGTGAGTAATTAAGGTTTTAATTGGCCTAAACTTTAATTTCTATTTAAACAAGTAACGGGTACACGCTGCAGAATACGTCTCACAAGAGATTTATATGAGTGGAAGCAGGTCTTTGTAAGTATCATAGTAAAATTATCAATTTAACCTCCACATAATGCAAGAGGCAAAGAGTTCCTAAATGACTCTGAAATGTCGTTCATATTTAAATAATGTTCTATTTATTGTAACAATTTTATTAATTGGATTTTTTATTTGTATTACTTTGGTTACAGCTTCGTTTGTTTTTACTAGAAGTGGTTATAAATATGTTTTCATCATACTGATGGTAAAAAAACTCTATTTTCAGTTGTTCAGTTCTTTGCAGCTCCACAAAATTTGGCTTAGTTGTGCCCAAAATAGTCTCTGTTTGCTTGAAACATTTCAAATGATTTAAAACTAATTTCTTTGCCACAGATGCCTCATGAATCAACAGTAGCTCATGAACAACGATTTGCAATGGAGACTCCAGTGATTTCCCGATCGAGGACTTTCTCCATCATCGAAGAAACCGAAACTAATGTTACCAAACGTAACCATCGAGTAAGTATTCTACATTAAAAATGGCATGGTTAGGTTGTTTGATTACCAATTAATTTTCAGGGATGGAATTAAAATCCAAGGAGGGTTCCAGGTTCAAAACTCAAAATTACCAGTACAAAACTTGCCACTCAAAAAATCAAAGATTGCTAATTATTTGTACCTATTAGTACATAAAAAGGCCCAAAAATAAGAACAGTTTCAAGAAGAAATGTGTTCAACATTTTGAAAACAAGGTTAAGATTACTAAAATATAAAAATCAAATTTAAAAAATTAGCAAACATGCATCATTAAACAAATTACAAAAAAATCTAAACAATAATTAAATGGTGACATCAAAAACGAGAAACAAAATGACGGAATAACTAGCCAAAAACAATATGATGCAAGTTTCATTTTGTACAATGGTATTGTCCATTTATGTTCACAATCTCGTAAAAATAATATTTTACGTTTGATCTTTGTTTTTAGTTTCAGTTTTATTTATGATAAGCACAGGCATTAAATATCAAAGAATTTAAAATCTGGAATTCAAATTCTGAAAATTGAGTCACGAATCCAAAACATCATTTCAAATGTGATCAAATACATCAGTGGACTTTATGTAAAAATCTGTTCTTAATCTTTCAACTGTTTATGCAAGAATGACAGCAATGTTGTGAGGAGGTCTCATGATCGCGGCAAATTCTGCGATATTTCTTGCGATTGTGGTTACATCTGTGATGATTTCCCTTGCTTTCTCTCACGGCTACGCCAGAATAGGAGTAACGTTGTGAGCATCTCACAAGATCAAAGCAAAATATGTTGGTATTATAGATAACAGCATGTGATGTTTTCTTGCGGTTTCTTGCAAAATCTGTTTAACTTTAAATTTATCGGCGATCCATCTCATCACCCAGGACTATTTTTCGTTACTGAGCCCACATCTGTGATCATTCCTTACGATCATGGCAACATTGGTGATAGTTCCCAGTTTGCATTGTACCATGGAGTAAAACGAGGAAAATCTGTGAATTTGAGCAAATTTTTGGCGGTTTTTTTTAACTTTATTTTCTCAGTTCTTTTAAAAATTACAAGCATACAATTCAAAGATTTTTTTTCCAGTTGACAAGCCGGCTGATAACCTTGGTTGTTTTATCATTAAGATAATTAAGGATAAAGTTTATCGGACGGTGTACAAACTAGCTCTCTCCTTCACTGAGAGCCTCATTGCTTACATTCTGTTGTAACTTCTTTAAGACTGTACAATATTTTATTAATATCTATTTTTACTATCATATGTTTTTCTATTGTTTTTGTTTTGTAAACATTCATGAAATAGAATTTGTGTTGAGTGGATATGTGTGTTTCAATTAATTATTTTATAATTAATTAGAGTCAAATTGGCAACAAGTGTGAAAATCAACTAGCCACTGTAAAATTCAACACATTTACTTTTCAAAATTACATTCAATTTCTAGATTCAAGATACACTAATATTTTATACAGTTCAAACTATAATGGATGCACAACAGTTCACCTTCCTTCTAAACACATTCAATGAACGACAAAAAGCACTTGTACGTGAGATGTCAAACATGTTTCAAGCTCAAATTCAAACGATTGTTACATCAATTGGAAAAACCAGAGAAGAATGCTCTCAGTCTACAATGTCAAATGTTGCTATATTCCAAAACTTCAATGCCAAACAAGAAAAGTTTACCTGCTATTTGGAACGTTTCGAAAACTATTATACAATGAAAGGTTTGACTGACAAGAAGAAAATTGCTCAGCTCTTGTGTAATTCTATAGGTAGTGAACATTATAACAACCTATCTGCATTTTTTTTGTCCAGACAAGCCACTCAAATCATTAGATTATGAAACTCTGTTGAATGACTTCAAGAAACTATTGACTCCAAAGAAAAGTGTTGTTGTTGCTCAACATTATTTCTTAATATCTTTCAAAAAGAAAACCAGTCAATTTCAGAGTTTGTGGCTGACCTCAGACGTGATCTTCAAGAACGTGAATTTGCAGTTGGCTCCAACGATGAATGTGGAACATCTGTGTCAATTGCTGATGTTTTCTTGCGGGCACAGTTTATACGAGGATTGAAGGACAATTGGCTAAGGGAACACATTTTACAATCCGTGTATACAAAGTTTGATGACATTCTACAGAAAGCTATTGCTCTTGATGCATCAAAGGTTGAAAGCAAAGAATTTCACCAACATGCATGTTCTAACAACTTTAATGTGGATTCCGCTGGAGTGCTTAAAATTACAAGGTCTCCCAGACGATCCCACCAGTTCTCTAACAATCGCTCATCTAACAAGACATCTCTCAACTGGAAACAACGTTCAAATAACAAAAGACCTGACTTCAATGCCCTCGGAATAGAAGGCCTCTGTCTTAGACGTGGAAGTAGCAAACACATTGCTGCAAATTGTAACAAACAAAACACAAGTATAAACTCCAATGTGGGGAGTGTTTAAAACGAGGACATGTCTTTGCGGTCTGCATAACTACACTGATATCAAGGACTAAGAAATCAACATCATAGTTAAATTCAACCAACAACCTACATTCAGGATCAAATGATGACGATTATTCAAGTGACGACTCTGATAACGGAGTGCACAAAATTGATTCAATCTACCAGAACTTTGATGTCGTAGATTTATTTTAAGTTGGATATGATTTAGACAAGTACATTGTTTCTGTCACTATAAATGGAAGATCACAATGTTTTGAAGTTGACAGTGGGGCTAAATTTTCTCTCCTTGCAAAGAATGACTTTGAACGTCTACATCTTAATGTACCTGTAGAACCATCAAGGCTAGCTTTCCGTTCATACTCTGGAGACATAATCAAACCAGAGGGAAAGGTATCAGTTTCTGTATCATACAAGGGTAAACAGTTCAAAGATGACCTTCACATCGTCCCTTCAGGTCATGACGCACTTCTAGGGCGCCAATGGATCCGAGGACTGGGTATTTAACTGTGTGAAATTGACGCTGAAATGAACCGACTAGCTACTGTCCTTCATTTACAACCAGTAAATTCAGTTTAGGAACTGTTTGAAAAATTTGCGCCAATTTTCGAGCCAAAAATCGGATGCGTTCCAAACTTTACAGTATCATTACATCTTCGACCAGGAGCAAAGCCTATTTTCAATCGTGAACTGAACGTACCTCGTGCTCTTATTGATCAGGTCAACAAGGAACTATATTTACTTGAAAATGAAGGAATCATTTCACCTGTTACGTCAAGTGATTGGGGGTCACCACTAGTCGTGATACCTAAGGCAGATGGAAGTGTTCGTCTCTGTGTCTACTACAAATGTGGTATGAATGAATCAATGAATGAATAGTCCAGGCAAACCATCCTATTCGAAAAATTGACGATGTACTCGATAGTTTGAGAGGATCTCGTTACTTTTGTAAACTTGATCTGTACAAGCTTATCTGCACCTCAAGGTCGACGAAGAGTCCAGTACTATCCAGACAAAGTCAACACACCATGGAACATATCGTGTCAATCGTCTAAGCTTCGGAATAAAGACAGCCCCTTCTGAATTCAACCGAATTCTTACACAAAATTTGAAGGGATTGCCTAAAACCGAGGCCTACTTTGATGACATAATTTGCCATGGTTCAACAATGGATGAGTGCAAAAGAAGTGTCCATGCCTGCAGGGCCGGATTTAGCATTTTGGCGCCCCTAGGCCCAAATAATTTTCCGCCCCCTAGTCTGGTCACAGATAACATACCCATAGGCCTAAGTTAATTGCTTGAATAACTTACCACTCCTCGTCGGAATTTTACCATTGCAAGTTTTTTGAAGAATTGACTCGTTTAGCCTTAACAAAATGTCGTCTTAAACACTTTTGAGACACTCCTGGTAATATTACAAGAAATTAAAACACACATCATAGAACTAACCCTAAAATAATAGAAACAACGTCAAAACTAATGTCCAGTGTCACCAACGTGAACTAGACATGAAAAAAAATTGAATTTACAATGTGATAGGAAGTCGACTTGAGTTATATTTAATCTATGGTGGTACTGCATCTAGGTTATATTTCCAAAGCAAAACAGAGCAATATTCCGGCCAACCATATCGATCCTTAGGTCTGAGGAGAAAATTACAGGATTAATGGTGCTTTGGAGGGTATTGAGTTTGTTGAAATCCTGTTGCAAACTGAGATTAATATTTTTTCATTAATTTTAAAGATAAATTAATATTTTTTTAAATATACAATGCAACGTATTATATATTTTAACTTGATCCTGCAGATTGTTGTAAACTAATCAAAAGATTAGTCAATAACTTTTGTTTTGTGAGTTATTTGTTTTTTGTGTTTGGTGTAACAGTGTCTAGCACGCATGCACCCCTAATCACTCAGATCAGTAGTGCAAGGCCAGCTAGTGGCAGTGCAGTAGCAACACGATGCATACCGCTCGGGCGCTCGTCAACATCCCTACAACCTACTCCTATACCAATGTTGTAACGAAATTGATGCGTAATTCTGAAAAATAGTTTAAATCTTCTAACAATTATTTCTTCCTATGAACTTCAGAATCAGAATGCTTTATTAGCTAGAGTTTTTCTTTATAATCTTGACTATTTATTTTTATTTTTAGATATTAAAAAAAATTCCTCTCGGCCTTGCGCCCTCTGGGAGCTCGCGCCCATAGGCCCGGGCCTACCGGGCCTATTGGGAAATCCGGCCCTGCATGCCTGTCTTCAACGACTCTCAGACTTTGACTTACAAATAAACAAACAGAAGTGTTCATTTTTTCAAGAACAAATAGAATATCTAGGTCGAGTGGTGGAGTTAAACAAAATAAAGAAATCTCCTACCAAAGTTCAAGCTATTAAAGAAATGTTACGTCCATCAAAAGTTGAAGAATTATGACGATTCTTAGGAATGGTTTCTTACTACTCTCGTTTCATTCCAGATGCTTCAACTGTCACTTTTCCTTTACGATGTTTGTTACGCAAAAATAAGAAATGGGACTGGACACCAGAATGTGAAAAGGCTTTTCAACAAATCAAAACTGAGCTCTGCAGTAACAGGATACTCTTACCTTTCGATCCAAAACTACCGTTAGTCCTCACCACAGACGCTTCACCTGCTGGACTAGCTGCAGTTCTTAGCCACTTAATAGATGGAACTGAGAGACCAATTGCTTACGCCTCACGTTCACTCACTGATGCCGAATGTAACTATAGTCAACTAGACCGGGAAGCATTGGCCATAGTTTTTGGTGTCTCCCATTTCTATTATTACAGTAGAACATCGGTTAACCGAGCCTCGCTTAACCGAGACTCCGGGTTAACCGAGGCCGTCCTCGAACGATTTTTTTTATTTAAAAAGCAAAAGAAACACGCACAAACTACGTACAGTAATGAGCGTTTGGGTGCTCCTTTTATCGCAATACGCACGCTAGCCTGCAATGCGTTAAAACTACTCTACAGTAAAATGTTGGCAACTGTTGTGTTTCCTCGGCCAAATATTTGCGTAGCTTAGCGCTTATCTTTGCCGAATGCATACGGCACTGTCACCCGACACCGCTCGCCAGAGCAGCTGCAGGTGTTGTAACCCGACACCGCTCGCCACCGGACCAATGCGAACTGTTTCAATGCCGAGACGCGACTGAGACACTCGCTCTCCCCACCACCCCGATTCGACAAAAGTTTTTTTTTACAGCGATGAATCTGATGGGGCGACTGAGAAAATATCACATACAGAAGGTCTAAGAATGATCGAGGGAGCACTGGCATCAATGAGCTATAATTCTAACTGGAGAAAGCACTGAATGTCAAAGATGCGTGTCGCCAGCCGCCATGTTTGCGTGAGGTGTGAGTTAAAATGAAGCCATGTTATTGGATGAAAAAACTCACTGCTATGCAAACCTAGTTATAGAAGCCATGTTATTGGATGAAAAAACCTGCTGCTATACCAACCTAACAAAATCAGCGACACGCTTTTGACAGACTTCTGCAATGGCAGTGCTACCTCCAGTTATAATTTTAGCTCAGTGACTGGCATACATTGAACAACAAGAAACCGCAACAACAAACGATTTAGTTTGGCTGCGACGCTGGCGCAACAGGGCGGCTAGCCTAAGATCCTCTAATCTAAGTCAAAAAACAATAACTGATTTCTTTGGGAAAAAAGATTAGCTTACTTTGTTTATTTTTGTACAATGTACAGTAAATTAATTTTCATTTCTTTGATTTAATTTTGTAAACAGGAATACTGTACTGTAACTAAACTTCTGTACATTGTGTAGCCTATATAAATAGGCTACAGACGCTTCACCTGCTGGACTAGCTGCAGTTCTTAGCCACTTAATAGATGGAACTGAGAGACCAATTGCTTACGCCTCACGTTCACTCACTGATGCCGAATGTAACTATAGTCAACTAGACCGGGAAGCATTGGCCATAGTTTTTGGTGTCTCCCATTTCTATTATTACTTATTCGGGACTCAATTTCAACTTGTAACAGATAATCAGCCCATATCTAGGATCTTCAGGCATGACAAGGCTCTACCATAAATGACTTCAGCTCGTTTGCTCAGATATGCATCATATCTGTCAGGTTTCAATTACAAGTTGGTGTTCAAAAAGGGCATGGAAAACGTGGATTGTCTTTCAAGAGCTCCTCTTACACAGACTCAAAAATTGGAAAGACAAGAAAATTTGAAAAGAGGTACATCAAATCTGCAGCCAAGCTATTTTTTCAAATTTCAAGACATGAAATCACAGCTGAGAGTATCAAGAATGAGACAGCCAAAGATCCAGTGCTCTCTAAGATTTTGAAAGACCTACTCACTAATTTACTTGATTCTGACTTTACTTTGGTCGAAAACATTATTTTCCGGGGAGAAAGAGTTTACATTCCATCACTACTTAGAAACAAGATTCTAAATAAACTTCACGAAAGTCATCTTGGAATCACAAAAATTAAACAGCTAGCACGGCGCTATGTTTATTAGTCAAATATTGACAAGGACATTGAGCACCTTATGAAAGGATGTGAAAATTGTGCACTAACACGGTCAAATCCGCCCAAAGCTCCCAATCACCCGTGGGAAATCCCAAAAGAGAACTGGGAAAGAATACACATTGACTACGCAGGACCGTTTCAAGGCTTCAACTTCCTCGTGTGTATTGATGCTAGATCAAAATGGGCGGAGATAAAAGTCTGAAATATCTGACAACGCTTCAATTTTTCAAAGTGATACATTCCAAGCTTATTGCAAATTGCATGGCATTTTCCAGAAATTCATATCTCCAGGACACCCAGCAACAAACGGCTTAGCAGAACCCTCCGTTCAAACATTGAAGAACCGCCTGAAGTCCACAGCTTCGGAAAACATACCAATGGCAATAAAGGTCCAAAAGATCTTAATGCGGTACCGGGCAACTCCTCTAGCATGTGGCAAATCACCGGCTAAACTTTACCTCCACAGAAAGTTAAGAATACGAATGGATGCCATTTTTCCTAATGTACAAAGAGCTTCAACTAAAAATGCTCCTTCTGCAGGTACATTCAATGAGGGGGAGAGAGTTCAGGTTTGTCTCTTCATAAACAACAAGAACGTTTGGGAGTTTGGAGAGGTAAATAAACTCCCAAAGCAAACAATGCAGATGTTCCAGTAGTTCAGGGAACAGAAACAAACCCGAAGTTTCTGTTAATCAAGAGAGATCAAGGCGACAAAGGCAAATGCTGTGCCGATACAAGGACTTTATTCTTTCATAATTCCATTGCCAGTTCAAAATAGTGGCGGAGATTGTTGTAACTTCTTTAAGACTGTACAATATTTCATTAATATCTATTTTTACTATCATATGTTTTTCTATTGTTTCTCTTTTGTAAACATTCATGAAATAGAATTTGTGTTGTGTGGATATGCGTGTTTCTATTAATTATTTTATAATTAATTACAGTCATTTTACATTCCATCACATTTTTGTGCAGATGCTGGATCAACGATCACAGAGCTTAGTTCACGTCCGTCCAGAGACCCCCAGAAGTGTCACCCACAACCATGATGAAGACTACTCCGACGAGGAAAGTGACCGTCAGTCAGGAGAGGGAGAGGAGAAGCAAAGCTCCTAACGAATTTTTTAGCTTGTACTGTACATGTTTTGTTCTTATGTATATTGTAATCTACGAGTAATGAAATAATTTTTAGAACATTGCCAATAAAATTTATACTGTTTTGCTATATTATCAAAGTAATATATTATTCCAGTTATGTTTTATTTTAGTGTTTTATTTTACATACCTTGACTATCTTACTTAAAGTTATTAGTTATTAGTTACTGTTACTCTAATTCCAGAAAAGGTAAGATTTTACTGCATATCTTTAACCTTAGTTGGGTCTGAGGGGAAATTTGAGGCAGCCTATGATTTTTTTATGTTTTAAAAACCATATTGATACATAAGTAAATGCCACAAATAGGTTGTCAATACTTCCTTTGAATTCCAAAGATTAAGAGTCGGCAGGACTGCCAGCCATCTTGGATTTTCTGCCCATAACAGCAATGTTAATGGTTTAAGCATATTTATGGCATTGTTTATTAGGATAAAAAGTTGCAAAGTATTTCATTTTAAAGATATTGAAACCGTGAATGTGATTTGCTATCTACTTTTTCATTTGAGTTGTTATTATTTTGTCACACTACATAAATATATTGACTTAAAGTTTTTAATAGGGACTAGTGACATGTCAAAACACTCCAAACCTAATATCAATACCACAAAAACTAAGGAGATTTAATTTGTCGAGTTCAATCAATTCAAAACATATAGTGCGTTCACACAGCCGTGGCACCTGAGGGATTAGGAGGCCCCAAGGGTTTCCATGGGGTGACCTAATCCGTCAGGTGCCACGGCTGTCTGAACGGAGTATAGTAGGTAGATTAAATTAAGTACCTATTGATGTGCCAGGAGATTAATTTGGTGTCCGGACAGTTGCGGACACGCCTTAAAAACGGACAATTGCGGACACTAGGGATTAATGCTACCTGACAAGGGTAACCTTGTCACACTTTACACACTAACCTAACCTTGTTAGGTTACAGTAGGTTGGTTTGTAAAGTGTGATGGAAATCAGTCTTAAAATCATATCATGTATGTATCTGTTCTTTAGGTGGAAATCAGAATGTTTCCAGAACATGTGTCTGCAGTTGTCCGGTAGTGAAATATTTGTAGAGACCTGTCAATCCCTTGTCAGGTAGCGTTAATCCCTAGTGTCCGCAATTGTCTGCTTTTAAGACGTGTCCCCAATTGTCTGGTATTCAATTAATTTATTTCAATATTTTTTTTCAAAAATTCTTTTTTGTTTAAAACTGTATTATTAAGTCAGGGTTAAAAGTCAAATTTCTTTTAGTTTTACTTGCATAATTAAATTTTTTTTACCAGTATAGTTTTGTAACCTAAACCAGGTAAGTAAAATTTAAGCATAACATTTTGGTTTCAAGATTCAAAATTTCTGGTCATGACCATCACTATTGCAAGGAACACACTTTGTTAGGATATCCATTTATTTCATCTTATCTCTTGGAAAAGGTTTTTTATTAGAGTGCTAAAACAATGGAAGTTTTTTTTATACACGTGTTGTTGTACTCCACTAGTACTTGTAGAGTCTTTATTAACCGCAGACTAGTTGGATTTTTGGGTTGAATGCCTGACAAACTAGACACGACCTATACACGTGCAGCAGCGAACTTCTCTACCCCTGAACACCTTAGCACACACCAGACTACAGATACCATTTAATTTGATTTATTTTGCATTTTATAATGTATTCTTGTGTTATATTATGTAAATGCTGATAATAGTGACAATCAAACCAACTTGCTCAAATTTAAAAAGTCTTTGAGTAAAGTTAATCTCTTCTGTGGATTTGTTTTCCACATACTGAATTAATCTTTTATAGCATTAAGTTTTCAAAAGGTGGCCTTTAGAAGGTAGGGTTCTCGATAACAAACTCATTTGGCAGGGTAGGATTTAGCATTTTGGCACCCCTAGGCCTAATAGTCTTTCCGCCCCCTAGTCAAGTCAGTCCTTAGCTAATATTGTTATTGCTGTATAATTAACACGTTCGCTGCTGACCGCTAGATGCCGGGACGGCGCCAGGAGCTGAACTAACGCTCGCCACTGCGTAACTTTGCCGCCAATGCACTGAATTACAGTAAAAACAACAGTAGTTATACTGGATGGCAATGTTCTGCAATAAAACTGGCTTTGGACATAGTACTAAATGATTCTGATAGATAGCAGCACTACCCAGGTTGCAGTCAGTAAAGTAGTGTCGTTATCTAGCAGGAAAGAGGTGGGACAAAGCCCTGTTCTATCGACCCTGGTGGTGATTTTGGGAAACAATATTTTTTTATTGTCAGTAAAATACGTCCCCACGAGCTGCAAAGAAATATAGGACGCTCGTGTCGAGCTGGCTGATCCATGGAAACGTTAAACAACAATGAACGGTGACGTTCCTAGCTCCTGGCGCCGTGGCACGGCTGACGTTCCGGAACGTACGTAGCAGCGAACGTGTTAAACCCCTGGTTGCATAGCTATGGACTAGATCTATAGTCCTATTTTTTAGAAATTCGATATGTCAGCGGTAATGATTCACAGTATCTCTAGGAGTTTTTTTCATTATCAAGGACTTTAATTAAAAAGGTTAAATAAAAAGAAAGTAAAGCACAAATCATTAAATCAACCCTAAAATAATAGGAACAAAATTTTATCGACACCCAGTGTCACCAATATGAACTAGATATGAAAACAATCTTTGGATATTACAATGAGATGAGAAGACAACTACTTCTGTTGGTTAGTATACGGTGATACTGCATCTAGATATTTGAAAAGCAAAACAAAGCAACATATCTCGGCCATCCATGCTGATCCTCAGGCCTGAGGAGAATATAATTACAATAACATGTGTGGTTGCATTTTCACTACTACTAGTGAATCTTTATTAACCGCAATAATATTACAATAATATAATTACAATAATTATAATGACAGAATTAAAATGGCACTTTGGTAGGCTTATCCCCCGACAACATCCTGATAGCCTTCTTACAGGTTTAAGACCAATGTTGTAACAAAGTTGATGCGTAGTGTTGAAACAACGATTATTTTTTCAAATAAACTTTTAAATCAGAAGTTTTAACTCTACTATGCTGAAAAAAAATTTTTTTTGCAATATATGTTAAGTTATGGCTGTTTATTTTTTCTGGATATTTGTAAAAAAAAATTCTTCCTAGCCCTGGGCCTCCTGGGAGCTTGCGCCCGGGCTTACCGGTCCTTGGGAAATCCAGCCCTGCCAATCAGTTTATTAAACATTAATTACTGTAGTGGTAAGGCAGAGTATGCTGTTGAAAAAAATTACTTAAGAAATAAATCATTTATGAAATACCAAGCCAATTTCTTAAAAAGCATCATTATTAAAAAACTACCAAAGTAAAAAGTCAAATATTTTTTATTTTCAATATCTGTTTTACAGTATGAAGAAATTTTAGGAAACTTTTGAACATATTCTATATGGTTTACAGTAAAATTCTTAATTTCCATTCCAAAGTAAACTTCATTGTCTTTTATTTCATTTAAAGGAACCCAACCTTCAGAGTCAACTTCTTCCTCCTCTCTTTTATATTCAATAACATCCTCTAAGTAATTTAGGTACTCAACTGAATAACATTTGTTTTCAGCTTTTGGCCCACTGCCCCTTTGCATTTTTTTACCTGTAATAATTATAGCCCCAAATGGAGATTGTAAATTGAAAATAGACATGTCTTTAACGGTATTAGTGTTTACCCGTTCAATGCCTTCAAGAAACTTCTTAGCTTTGGTTTCCTTCTCACAATATTGTTTATCACAGCTAGTTATTTGCCATTCTTTTATATGCTCTCTTTGTATATGTATCAAGGAAGAGCTTTCATTTTGGTCATTGAGTTGGGAGTTTTTTAAATCACTGTTATTTCCAAAACTATTTTCCCCTTGTACCATTTTTATTTCATTGCTTGCCATTTTATCAACAAAAACAGTTGAACAGCCAATACATTGTACTGGTAATGTATTTTCTTTCGATAAGATGTTGTATCTTTTTAAAGCAAATCCTAAAGAAGGTAATACTTTTTGAATCCACACCTTTTTCTTTTTCTTGGATGGTGTACACAACATTTGATTGACATTGGGCAACTCTTTAGAATCAACCTCCTCATATAAGTCTTTATTACCAACTGTATTAATTATATTGTGGGTTGTTACACATTTATGGACGTTCTTTGATCTTAAGTTTCTGTCTGCAGATGTTTGATTTGAAATATTGCTAAACTTTTCTTCTGATATAATTTTGGAACTGAATTGAGTGTTTTTACATTGTTGACTTTGCATGCCTTCAGAATAAGACATGCAAGTGTCATGCCAATATTTACCATCTCCAGAGAGATTGACACAATATGGATTGTTCTGTGTGTTATGGAAAGAGAGGTCACAAGAATGTTGGTGGTTGGTTTTCGAATTATTTGGACAAAAGGTCAAGTGTTGCTTTTTGGAAAACCAAATGTTGCGTGGAGAATGTTTATTTGTTCGCACATTTTTGACATCCATGTAAATGGGATCTTTTAATGTGGTTCTGGTTATTGGATTTTTATTACCGTTTCTCAGTTTTTTCATCTCCATGTTCTTTAATATTTCAATGCAGGTATTGCACATACATCGAAGTGTGCTATTAAAATTTCCTATTACAAAGCTGTTCTTTTCATTTGTACCCACCTCTACAAAAGAATTACCTTTCAGCGTTTGATCTAAACACAGCAAAAAACTTTGTACAGCACTTAATTTGTTGACTAGTAGTTTTTCCTCTTCAAATCCTTTCAAATTAGTCCTTAGTTCGAATTTGTCTTTGACAAAATTATTAAGTGGAAGGCTTGTGTAATTCTTTTGATCTGACAATACGTTACTTTTCAGGTTTGTGTTAGATGGATGTATGGTGTCTAACACATGAATAAAAGACTTTTTATCTTGAGGCTTTTTACTACTCATGTCATTAATGTGAATGACTTTTTCAGGCATACTTTGGTCAAATGAATTTGTGTTATTTTGCAAAAATCTTTTGTCTAGGACGACTTGTCCACTGTTTAGAACACATTTTGGATTTTCATAATTGTTCAGGAGGGGAGTATTAACAGATAAATAATTTCTTGTTTTTGTTTTCACTCCCACTTCTGATACAATAAACTTTCCG